CAAATAAAAATTGTGTTACTGAATTATTATTATTATTATTATGATTGGTATTCTATATCGAGAGAGAGAAAAGAAAAGTAATAATGTTGAAATCAATATGTTGTCGTTTTCTTTCTTTTTTTTTTCTTTCTTCTTCTTCTTCAATATGTTTGAAAGAATATAGTGCAGCAAACATACACATATATGATCGATCATCAATTTTCTTTTTTTTTTTCTTCGTTATATTTTGTGAGTTCATTCGAATCACATTCAGTTCTACTCTCTCATTTTTTCCCCTCTTCTTCTTCTTCTTCTTCTTTCTTTTCTCATCCCATCCTCCGGTTTCTTTTCCCGCTTCATTCTCAATGTCAGAAGCGCGCATACCATAGTCAGTCAGTTGGACGTCGGCGTCGTCGCACTGTTGTTGTAACGATTAAACACAGTTTAACATTTCTCTACAATATATATATCTATGTGTGTATGTGTGTACTCTTAGCTGCTAGATCGTCGGTGTCGACAAAATATGCAGCGAGGACACAAGCATGCGAGACATACACGATTCATGATTAAGTTCAGTGTTCATTTATTCTCTGTTTTTTTCTCCTTTTCTTCTTTGATTAGCAGTAAGACTTTGAGAAAGAAAGAACAATATATATGACATCAATATGGAAAAAAAAAAGAAATGGGTCTTGACAATGAAAAATGAATATGTTATTTGAACAAGTTCAGATAATCATAATAAGAACATACCAATGTTGTCTAAGTGTTGTAAAAATTGAAGATAAAAAAATGCTTGTATATTATTGAGATATATTTCTTTTCTTTTTTTTTTTTTTTTCTTTTTCTAACCAACTAGGACTAATGTTGCCTATCGGTACATCATGCAGAACTTATTCTTTTTTTCTTTTTTTTTTTCCTCGCTTTAAATGAAGCGCACATTTGAGTGATTTCTTTGCTTTGCCTAGTCTTGATTCTCAAATATATATATATATACACAATGATTATCATCTTCATGATCAAAGTATTCTGATTTGTTGCTTTTGCGTGCGTTAACTATAGAACTACTATTACTAAATATTATCGAAGATGGTAGTGGAACGATGAGAACAAGTAAGAAAAAAAGAACAAAACCGATCAGAATTCAGCGGTGTTGACGGCAAGTGTAAAAAGAAAAAAAAACGACAACGACGAATAACGAGAGAGAGTATATGTGTGTGTGTATGTGAGTAATCGTCAAAATGAAACAAATTTTGCTTGATGGTTTGTCGACAGAGTGAAAAGAAAGACAGAAGAACAAAAGAGAAAGTATTATAACTGCGTCGTGCATATGAGACAAAAACACAAAAAAAAGAAAAAACGGGTCTCTATGTAAACTTGATGATTAAAAAAGAAGAAAAGACCTTACACCATTATAAATACAAATGAGAATACGCGAAAGCAAAGAAGAAAAAAAAATTTCCGATAAGATCAATAAGACATACCAAAAGAGAATCATTTGATGGTTGATTTGTGAATAAAGATGAAGGTAAGATTGTATTTGATGTTGAATATTCTATTTGTTGAATTTTAGTTGGAATTGTTGAATTATTTATTGAAGGTGATCGTCTATCAATAAATGTAATCGATTAAATAAATTGTTCGTTTTTTTTAAATAGAAAACAAAAAGAAAAAAAATGATGAAAAGATAATTATAATAGTAGAGGAAGATATATGTTTATTATGCTTTTCTACATTTGAATTATTTAAGGATCATTATTTTCATATTTTAAAGTCATTTTAGTTTGTTCATTTAGATGAAAGATAGATGACCTTTGAATGTAATATTAAGTATTGAAAACTAATAGAGGGTTAAATTTTGTTCTTACTTCAAATTATTGTTTTGAATTTGATTGTTTTAGAAACTATTTTTATTTATTAAAGATTTATCGAAATTTTAGTTCGAATTTTTAGCTGTGTTTTTATAACAATATTGAATTGAGTCTTTGGAATTATCAATTTTTCTTTGTTTTTTTTAAAGTATTACAGAATAAAGCCTTAATAATTCAATATGTAAAATATTTATTTATTCAACATCAAAATTTTTCGTATCAAAGAGAATTCATCTATTTAAAGGGGTATTTCAATCAAAACTAGTGATCATGAATTTTATACATAATTGAATAGTATTCGATTTGTTAGATTTCTTATATAAACATTAATATTTACATTTATAATAGTGAGCTATTGTTTTCTTAAGTAAACAAAAATCCAATTTAACAAACTGTTACCTAATAATAGAATTTGATTTTTTTTTTGTAGGAATATCATTACATTTGCTAAATCATATCGTAGTTATCTTTGAATACCTTTTTTCATATTATTTTTCAATCAGCTGTAAAAGTTAAGACAAGTGTTGGAATAAATAAATCCGTTTGATTCTAATTTTTTTGAATCTTATTTAGTTGGAAAGAAAATTTCTAATTTAATATAATTTAAAAGTAGATAATACAATAAAATGATATGCTAACAATAAGATTAATGAAAATCTCAAAGAGAAAGTTATCTCATTGTTAAATCCTTCACATGATAGCGAGTATTGCATGTACAAGGAAAATATAATGGTTCGTGCTTGTGAACCCGAATTATGACCATTTTACTTTATTTTTAACCTGCAATTTTCTCTATAGATAGATCTAATGACCCATAGAATATCTATAAAGTTTCAGCTGAAAAAAAAACAGGTTTCCGTGTCAAGATATTCGATATTTGTCATATAGCTATGGCAGGCAATCATTTGTTACGATTTCAATATCTCGATACGAAAACATTCGATTTCGCTCAGTGGCGTAGCCAGGAATTTTCCAAGGAGGGTGCCCGACACATTATGGGGAGTGCACACCAGCAGCAAAATAAATTTTTGTTTCTCAAAAAGATTTTTAGCTCGTACCCCCCTCCAGATATTTTTTGGTCAAGGGGTGTGCCCGGGCACCCTTTGCACACCCCCTGGCTACGCCCCTGATTTCGCTGATACTTTTCCGAAATTCTATGAGACCTAATGACTCATCAATGAGTGAGATTGTAGGTCAAAACTCTGCTACAATGGGTTCTTACAGTTTTTAGGCTATGCTTTCGTTATTTTTTTCTCTGCACAAAAAAAAATATTCATGTATAAGTTCAATTTATCTCAACAATGGTTTCATCAAATCTTTATATTATGACATATTAAATGAAGACAAAAAAGAAACATACATCATTTGATAGATAGTTTCATTTTGTGTATTAATTTCAGTTTTAATTGTATTAACTATTGGACTGGACGGTTGATTATCTAAAAAATGGATCATTGAATATAAATTTTACTCTTTTATTTTATATTAAACATACTTGTTGTTATGGCTATGGAATTTGAAGCTGCTGATGCTGAAGCTAAATTAATAGAATAAAAAAAAAAAGAAAGAACATAATTCTAATTTTTATTTATTTCAAACCTTTTCGTTTTAAAGCAAGTTGTTCTCGAATTTGTGCTAATGTACGTGTTTGTTGACTAGTCTGTATTGATTTAATAGGAATTTCAATTTTATTATGATGTTCATTTTCATTTGTTTGCATTTCATATGATGGTGAAACAATTTTTTTATTAGATTTATCTTGATTATAATTATTAATATCATCAAATAATGGACTTTTTTGTGTATTAATAGAATTTAATGAAGAATTTGTTTGAGAAATATTATTTGAATTACTTTTATCTTCTGAATTACGTTTCATTACTTTCATATTAAATAATATATTTTTTTTATAAGAAAAATTTATTAATTAAAATAAAAAAGAATTCATTTGATTTGTTTATATTCTTCTTCTTTCTTTTTTTTCTTATAGACAATATAAATAAATAATAATCATCGTGGTTATTCATTAATAAACCAATCATATGAAAGAAAGAAATACAATTAAAACATTTATGCATTTGTATGAGGATGTTTAAAACTTGAATGGAAGATGTCGATGAAGAATGTTATTTACTTATTTTTTTTTCATTTGAGTACAGAAAAAAGAAAATATGAAAGAAAGAATGTATTTCAAAATTTGTATTTATTTAGAGATCAATCTTGATTATTTTATGTAGTCTTAGAAAGTTCGTTTAAATGCAAGATCAGTCTGTTTGTGAGTAGGGAAAACTTATTTTCTAGCTTAATTACGTTTTCAGCAAAAAATTTGACTATCTGTCTGGTAATAAGTTATTGAGACAAGCTAATTTTTTTAATGATAGCATATTGTTTTTTAATAATAGGTTTAAAATGTAAGAGAAGGAATAGTCCGTCCCATATCAAAATCTATGTCAGCAAATGTCTTTTTATAATAGTCATATAACAATTCGTTTACAACGTTAACCAATAAACTTTCAGATTTTCATAGAACTTGTTGAGTTATTATGCAAAAAGAAAACAAGTGTTAGTAAGAAAGTCATGTAATTGATCAATCACTTTTGAGTTGAAATTTCGTATAATATGTAAACTATGAATACTTTGAAAAGAGATCAGATCCTTGACTTGTTGTTGCTAAGATATTACCTTTGTATGAAATTTTTCAAATGAATAACATAATAATAAAAAACTGATGTTGTTTTTTTGAGTTCGAAATTTTGTACAGAGACATTATTTAATAATAATAGTTTCTTGTAAAATATTTTAGATCTTATCATTGTTCTTATTCTAAGATAAATCTATGATAAAAGCGTGTCTTTTACATCACTCATATACATCTATAGATTCAATGTTCTTCTTTCAGAATAGAAACAAATCAAAAAAGACTTGAAGCGTTTACAATAACCTATATTCGTTAAACTTAAACTCTGTATGAAATTTTCATTTCTTAAATAAACTATCATAAAAATAATGTGTTCTCGTAGTAATTAGTTAAAGATTCAAACTTATTTCATAATATTCATAGTTTTAATTCAAAAAGAAATTAACTAATCGAAAGACTTCGTTCATTAGATTTAAATATTTTCTAGATCTTTATTATAAAACTAAATATTTATCATGGCTACAAAAGGTAATCGTAATCGTAATGGTGGCGGTGGCGGTGGTGGTGGTGGTGGTTATTCAGATGATGATAATGATGATTTTCATAATAAATCTCAACAACGTCAACGTTCATCATCTCGTCATCATCATCATCATCATCGTAGTGATCGTCGTCATGTTCAACAACAAAATCCACCATTACAACAACAGCAACAACAACAGCAACAACAACAACAACAACAACAACAACAATCATATGATCCAAATAAACGTCGAAAATTTGGTGGTCTTGATGATGAAGAATTAACTGAAGATAAATTACAAGTAGCATTATTTTCATTAGGACAAAAAATTGATCCAACACTTGAACAAACATTACGTGATTTATGTACAACATTATGTAATGATTTAAATAAACATAAAAAAATAATTTTCAATATACTTAATCAATGTATACAATTAATACCTGAACGTATGACAATATATTCAACATTAGTTGGTTTATTACATGCATCAATAATAACATTTGGTTCAGATTTTATTGATACATGTATTAGTTCATTAAAAGAATGTTTATTATTATATAAATTTGAAACAATACAACGTTATATACGTTTTCTATCTGATTTAATTAATGTTAAACTTATATCATCATCATCAATATTAAAATTATATGAAACATTAATACAAACAACAACAGAAACAAATATACCACAAGTACGAACAGATTTTTTTATATCATGTATATTAACATCATTACCATATTCGGGTAAAATATTATCGGAAAAACATAATACAGAATTAAATCGTTTATTATATTCAATTGATAAATATGTATATAAACGTTCAAAAATTCATGTACCAATATTACAAGTTTGGACATCACTTGAACCACATCCACAAGAAGAATATTTAGATTGTTTATGGGCACAAATAAAACGTTTAAATCAAGATGAATGGTCAGAATCACAAATATTTCGACCATATTATACATATGCTGATACATTATTTAGTGATATATCAGCATCAATTGTTTATGATTTACCATTAATTACAATACCATTACATAGTGATATAATTATTTATCCATTACCTAAAATTGTTTTTCGTATGTTTGATTATACTGATGTACCTGAACAATATGTTTTACCAGGTGCACATGCTATTGAAAGATATTTAATTGAAGATGAAATATCAAATATTATGCATACATATCATACAGAAAGAAAAGATTGTGCTATACAATTAACACAAATTCGACCAAAAAATAAAATTCCATTAAATTATATGATTGTTGAGGTATGAGAAAATGAAAAAAATTATTTAAAAATCAAAAAATTAAATGTAATGCTCTTCGTCCAAAAAAACTGACATCGCCGACACGACGTGAAAACGCACCGTAAATTTCCACGTCGAGTCGGCGATGTGAGTTTTCGGCGAAGATCATACTAACCTGTGATGATTATAACTTTCTTAGATTAGGCCGTAGAAAACGCAGCTACTTATCATCTTTATTCAAGATTTTATGCTTTCTCTCAGGTCGAGAAGTACGGACGGGTTCCGGCAGGAAAACACCGAAAGTCGCTGGATCTGGGGTAGCAGTATTTCGGCCGGAAAATTTTTGCATTTTTTTCGGTGACTTCCGGACAAATTCCTCAGGTTTCCTTCAGGAAGTTGTCCGGAAGTCATCGAAAAAAATCCGAAAATTTTCCGGCTGGAATACTGCCACCTTGCTCCAGCGACTTCCGGTGTTTTTCTGTGGGATCTGGTGACCGGAATCTTTGACCTGGGCTAAAATACTACTTTTTAAAAAACTAACTGAAACGCAGTCTTCTGAAACTGTCAAGCTACATTTCATGATTGATCTCAGCAATTTTGATAGAGAAATATTTAAACCGCTACTTAAAATTATAGTTAAACGCTTGATATTATAGAAAAAAAAATCAACAGTTTGTTGGCTTTATATTTTTATCACGATTCTAGATGACTTAAATGTAAGCTGAAAAAATAGAAAAATTCATTTCGTAGGTTTCTTTTTTTTTATAAAGCTAATAGAATTAGACAACTTTAAAATATTTCATAAATAAAATTTTTTTAGGTAATATTTGGTCATTTATTTAAATTACCACGTTCACAACATCTTGAATTATTTTATGGTTCACTTCTACTTGAATTATGTAAATTACAACCATCAACATTACCACCTGTATTAGTACAAGCTGTTGATATGTTATTTGAACGTTTAAATACAATGAAAACATCATGTATTGAACGTTTTGTTAAATGGTTTTCATATCATTTATCAAATTTTCAATTTACATGGGCATGGCAAGATTGGATAAATTGTTTAGATGAAAATTCTGAATCACCAAAAATAAAATTTATACGTGAAACATTACAACGTTGTATGAGATTATCATTTCATCAACGTGTTATTGAATTTGTTCCTGAACAATTTTATAAACTTGTACCAAATAAACCATCACCTATATTTAAATTTGAAGAAACTGATCCACCTATATTTGGTTCTGAATATGCACAATTATTAACAAAAAAAATTCGAGAACGTTCATCAGCTGAAGATATTTTACGTATATTAAATACAGTACCAAATCCATCAAAAGATGATGCATCATCATCATCAGTAGCAACAACAACAACAACAACAACAAATATGAATCAACCAACAAATGATTTAACTTATAATATGGTACAAATTGATTTATTTGTATCATCATTACTTTGGATTGGATCAAAATCTTTTACACATTCATTTGCATCCTTAGCAAAATATCATCAATTATTTAAAATTCTTATTGAAAGTGAAGAACAACAAATTCAAGTACTTAAATCAATGTATGAAATTTGGCCTAATCATCAACAGGTTCGTTTTATTTATATTTTATTTATTTTCTATGTTAAGAAATAATTGGTTAGAAAATTGAATATATTCTAATTAGATCTTAGCACAATAGATAACTATAAATATTTTCAATTTCATATTCAGTTTCATTTCAATAAAGGTTTTTCTAGTTAGTGATGATAAAATTGAATATAGTGAATTAAAGAATAGAATCATTTATGTTTTACTATAATAAAATAATAATAATTAGAAATGATCGAAAAGTTGTTTGTCTGGTTTTTTTTAGTCTTGTAAAAGAGTCAGCGAATTATTTTAGAAATAGAATTTTATATTATTTTCGAGTATGAATTTAAAATTATTGTAGAACTTGTTGTTTAGTAGTTATGAACCGGCCTTTTAAAAGCTTGTAAATAAGATTTGGATGAACTTCATCGTACTCGATATTACTCAGAGTAGAAGCAAACATTAGTTTTTGAATAAAATCTCCAAAGAATTTTTATATTTTACCAATGGATTTTTCACTCGAATTTTTACTAATGTCACTTCGACACTAAGAACTCTCAATGATAAATTAAACATATTCATTTCATTTGACTTTGTTTCTTTACTATTGTTATTTTTCTGAAAAAGTTCTTTGCGCTGCAAGAAAAATTTTTCTTTGTCTTACTATCTTATAGAAATGGTAAACAAAATTTAGTATCGTTTAAATAAGTTTTGAACTTCTCATTCGGTTATATGAGTGTTTTTTGATGTTAAATAGAAATTTTGTAGCTTCCGACATTGCTTATCGAATGTACTATTTAGTTTGATCTGAACTCAACGCTTTTTGTTTTTTAAATTGAAATGTATGAAGAAAAATTTGATTTATTTTAGATGATGGTTGTTTTAGTTGATAAATTAGTAAAAACACAAATAGTTGAATGTTCAGCCGTAGCTAATTGGATATTTTCAAGTGAATTAGGTTCTGAATTAACAAATTTTTATGTTTGGGAAATATTATCATCAACAATTGAAAAAATGAATCGTCAAGTTGAAAAATATCATAATGAATTATTAGATTTACGTCGTCAATTAAATATATCAGCAACTGTTCAAGCTGCAACAAATACAACAGATACAATATCTTCAACTGAACAAACAATAGTAGCAAATGAAGAAAAAATTTCTGATGATAATAAAATGGATGAAAATGATAATACAACAACAACTACTACTACTACTAATGAAGAAAAACCAACGATAACTAGTTTAAAACGACGACACGAAAGTGATGATGATGATGATGAAGATGAAAAACAATCAACTGAAAAAATTCAATCCATGCAAATATCACAACCACCAATGGATGAAGCAACAGCTAAATTACATGAAAAATATGAAATTATTGAAGAACGTTTATCACATGCACGTGAACAACAAAAGTAAAAAAAAAAAAAGAAAAGATTTTTGTTTTTTTTTTAAGTAAATTTATAAAATTAATTTTTTGTTTTTAGAAAACTTTATTTAATTGTATTTCAACGTTTTATAATGACATTAAGTGATTTTTTAAATGAATGTGAAAGTAAAAATGTTGATCCTGTATCAACACCATGGCTTAAATGGATAATTGAACGTTTACAAGAAATTTTTCTATTATATCATGAACAAGTTTTTCAATATGTATCAACATTTGAATCATTAATATTTACATCGGATATTGATTTTTGTATATTAGAAGTATTTCAACAATTTTGTGCTTTACGTGCATAAAACAAAAAAAGAGAGACGATAAATATGAACATTAAAAATATCTACATTTGTTTTTTGTTTTGTTTTGTTTTTTTTTTCTGTCGATGTTATATGTTATCAAGAGATAGGAAAATATCAAAAAAAAATATATATATATATATCGTGTATATGATGCACTAATATTGAATATGAATTTTATCAAATTCGAATTGTATTGTTTTGAACTGTGCATCAAGTTTGAAATTTTGAAAACTTTCATTGTTGACTTTCTTGTTTATTTTTTTTTGGGTATTCGAATAACTGTCATATCTTACAATGGCAAATAAGAAATTCTTTTAATAAATAATATACTGTTTCCATAAAGGATTTCTGCCATTGTTTAAACTATTTCGAATACCGGAAAGCAATTCGTAGTATTATGTAATGATAAACATATTATATAAACATAATAAATAATTGATTACAAAAGTATAGAACTTCTAATGATTGTTTTATGTCACTGATAAAAGGCGATTAATTGAATAACTAATCTTATATTGTTATTTTAAGTTGGTATAAAACTTTGATGATAATTGTTATGAAAGTCGATTTATCAAAAGATGATTGATAATGTATCATGTAGATTGGCATACAATTTTCTTCTTTTTTTTTCTAATATTTATTAACGATTCGATATATGATCGTGTCTATAGAAATCAAATAAGTATAAAGTTTTTTTATTTCACTTTAATGTCCAATCAAGATTTATTAGATTTTATGTCTCTTGTTAGATCTTTAAAATTTTAATGTAGAATTTAATTCACAATCTTTGTCAATAGGAAAAATGTTTATTTGATCTACTTTCATCTGAATTCATGTTGTCAAAGAAATTTTTTTCTAATTCTTGTTTCTTGTACAATACGAACAATAGAAAGAGAATGTTAAAGTAGAATGATACTGTCGGACAAGATCGTAAACATTTGATGTCCTTGAGTTTCTCTTTCTATATGTTAAAACGATAGAATATGAGATTATGCAACGTTCTGAATCTTCATTATTCTTTTTGGTAAATGTAAAAAAAAATTCTTCAAGAACTAGATAATCTTTAGAGGCCTATCAGTTTTGAGTGTTCTGGATCATAATTATGGAAGTAATAATTTTTCTCTTTTGTAAATCAAATATAAAAACTAATAGTGCAAATCTACCTAGCTTTTCATGCTTTACAAATTGAGATATTGATCATGTTTATTGATTAGTTTATAGAAACTCAGACAAGCATCACGTTGTGCTCGTCTGACCTTGTATAAGCTAATCAATAAACATGATCACTATCTCAATTTGTAAAGCATGAAAAGCTAGGTCGATGTGTACTATTAGCCTTCATTCTCGATTTACAAAAGAGAAAATTATTTCTGTGACTGTTATCGTCCAGAACAACCACCACTGATAGATTCTCTAAGATTCTTTAGTCCTTGAGAAAATTTTGTTACATTCAACAAAAAAAAAAAAAAGAAACATTTTATCAAGTGTTCCGACGGTGTCTTTTATCCTCCTTTATCACATAAATACTTTAGTCTATGAAATCATTACGAAAGAAAATTGAATTTAAGACACTTGTCTTTGGCTATCCTCTTCAAGGTCTCATGAACATATTAGGAAAGACATAATCAGTACGCCGATGAACACAAATCGAAACACATGTTATTTCTGCAAGAATTGTGCTAACTGCTTTCTTTTTCTCTTTGAAATTAATTTCATCATATACAATAGGGTCGTCATCAGTAATGGAATTAAAACTATCATCGCTGCTCTGTATACTTAATACAAGTTTTGTCCTGAATTTTGCAAGGATCTCTGATCTACGTTCTTCAAAATGTTGCCTGATTATTTATTTCATGTATAAAAGTCTATGGTAAATTTTCCATTGACAATTTTATATCAGCTTGAACCAAACAGTCAATTCCACATAAATCAATTTTTATTTAGTATACACTAGAAATAGTTAACTAGAATCATCTAGTATTCAATTTCAAGTTAAAAGTAATTTCATCGAATTTAATAGAAAAAAATATTTAAATGCCAATGTTCAATTCGAAGTTGAAGTTACTCATGCCTACTATACAAATTGTCTTGAATATATGCATTCTCTTTTTCTCTAGTTCTTTTCATAATGATTATCTTTATGATTTTTTTCTACCTCATTGTATCAAGTACAATTGAATCCATAATTGAATAGATATAATATAAATGATTTGTCACATCCAGTATTTTTCTTCTTTGAAATGCATTGATCGATTTTTTAAATAAAGATTACTATCTAACTTTCATTTTCTTCGTTTTTTTTCCTTTATCACATTCATTTTGTCCATTGCAACTCAAACTATGATATAAACTGATTGTACATCACGACAGATACGAATTAATATTTTTTCTTGTTAACAATTTTTTTTTATTATTGTATTAGGAGTATTTCTTTCTTTTTACAAAAGATAACATACATTTTTTGTTGCGATTAACTGCACAATTTATCTAAAAATATAATTATTATTTGACAAAAGTAAAATTTTATAGTTATATATCGTTACAAATAAAACAAGTTCACAAATGTGTTCCGTAAATTTGCTTTGTAATTATGTTACTTAATAAGATTACACTTAAAATTCTCGTTATACATATATTTGACATATTGTAGAAACGAAAAAAAAAAAAAGCCTTCGGCATTGCAACAAGTTCAATTAACACAGTATCAAATATAACATGCGTCGTCTCATACCATTGACAGCTGATCTATCAACAGTTATTACTGATGTTGATATTTAAATAACAGCTGGAGAATCAGCAAGTAATCATATGACAACTATTATTACAGATCATGTTAACTCAAAAGATTTTTTAAACGATATAGAAAAAAAAACTTACTGAATGAAATGACGCGATAGTTGCTGAATTTCATAATATGATAGAAGAAATTCAAGATATTGTTCAAGTATTAAAATATATTGACTTAAGCAGTGCAAGAATATCAACTTGTTTTAGGGTCATCCAAAAGTTATCACAAAACTAAATAGAAATATCATAATCATAAGTTGGCTGTTTAAAATATAGACAATGTTGAATATAATTTAATGACAAATCAAAACTTTATTTGATAGATGAGATATAGATCATCTAACAATAGCTATTATTTCAAATATGTAGAAAATAATTTAAACTCAAAAAAATCACTAAAAGTGTTCCTAAATCTATTAACTCTATATGAACAAATAAACATATTCTTGTATCCTTTTTCTAATGGACTATTTCTCAGTTTGTGTTGTTTATTATTATTAAACTACGATATTCTTTTATTCATACGAATAAATTAAGAATAAATAATCAGATTAACTAAACCAAAGGCACAAATTTTTGTTTTCATTAGAATATAAAACATGCTCTTAATAGTCACTTATCACAAATAGTATAAATATTTCTCTGATTAACATATCTATGATAATTTGCAATTGAAGTTTGAATCGTAAATCGAAATAACATTATTTTTCTTTGTATCATAAGTATCAATTAAATTATATAGTTTCCAAGATCTTTCATATCATTTACTATTATTTAACCCAATACGGAATGCTATTCATATTTGTATTTCTCTTTGATCTTGACAATAATATAGCAACTTTCTTTGTTTGCTTATCAGATAGATTAAACACGATTACTGACTTATATTCAACAATGACATTCTGATGAATAGAGTCCTTGTATACCATAGATATATCATCTTTTTATCTACTAGTCTTATTACATCATATAAGCCGAAAATCTTCGCCAATCATCATATTTTTGTATTGGCTAACTATTCATTCTTGTTGATAGATACAATCTAGTAATTGACTATCATTTTCAATAATGAAGAATAGTAATAATAAACTGAACGCAACCGTTTTTTTTTTCCTATTAAAAATAAAATATTTAACTTTGAATACTATTAGATATAAGATTCTCTTTAAAACTTTATTAATTTGTTTGTTTCTCATTAGGAGAAAATAATAAAGATATATATATATGTGTATATATATATATATATAGAAAGACACACACACATGTACAATAAAAAGTAGAAACCAATGTTTAAATATTTATTGTTTTCTGATTGTTTTATTAAATAAATATTTTTCGATCATCCGTTGATGATGATGATGAAGATGATGTTGTTGGTGAATGTGTCGATGATGACATAATAACATTATTATTATTATTATTATTATGTTTAATATCAGACTTAGTGGCAAGACGAATAACATCAAGTTGACGATGACGTTCACCATTATTAACAGATGATAATAGTGAATGTGTATCTTTAGGTTTTTTACCATTTAATTTTAAACGACGATGAAGACGATAAGCTATATCAAATACTTGACCAAATGTTAACATAATCTAAATAAATAATCAATATATATATTTAGAAATTTTTTTGTTTTGATTTTAATAACATATACTACCTCAGTTGACATAACTTCACTTTTTACAACAAATACATGACAATAATGATGATATTCACCACCTATTGAAAATGATGGTGATGGTGGTGTTTGTTGTTTATTATCAAGAAGAGAATTAGCAGTATTTGTATTTGATGTTCCATGTGTTATACCATGTGTAAGACGTTGTTCACGTGTAACATAAGCAAAATAACGTAAATCTTCATCTTGACATGCACAATGTATTGATTTAATATCATGAAAACATATAACAATACGATCTTTAGCATGTTTTAAAAATTCAACACCACGTGATGATATACTTAAACCAATTATTGGTAGAACACGTGCATATTGTGTTGATTGTTTCAATCGTGCAATAGCTTGTGATGGTATTGCTGTTGTACCATCATTTAACATTTTAATTGCTGTTGAACCTATTTATCAATAGAAGAATATAACATTTATTATTCTAATAAAAAAAATATTGCAAAAAAAAAAATTCTGTTTTGATTATTTATCTAAGATAAATAGAAGAATACTATCGTTTGAACATTCGATTATCAAATG